TAATTCCATTCATCTAATGTCCACAGGAACCTTTCGTATGCGCATTCATTTGTATATGTGACGCATTTTGAAAAGGAAGCAGTACCTAATACAGGCTGATAGTTTTATCTGTATTTTTGTACGAATTTACTTCCTCGAAATTCATATATGCCTGGTACTCATACCGTTGGAAGTAAATGTATATTAGTTTTTTTAATTACTCAACATGTAAATTTATTCATTAATTAACGGCTCTAGATCTTGTTTAATATGTCATAAATAACATTAATTGACGCTCTGTTGCTTTTAAGTGACTTGGAAACGTTTAAGACGTATAATAATTTTAATTAGATAACCTTATAAATACGTTCTCTTTTTACCGGGATAATTTAAGATTGATTCCTACGAAAAAATACTGTCTTCAATTTTTACGATAATTAGTACCAATATTTGGGCATAATTCTGCAATTTAAAAGAATCATCACACTAGATACTGTAACACATTTCATTACATTTAAAATTTTGTCATTTCAGTTGCAGTTGCGTACTACAACGGCATGAAATACAACTGTCAAATGGTTTATGTTTAAATGTAAAATTAACAAGTTCAGTGTGTTTCAAATTGCAATTATTTAACTGCATTACATAATCTACGGTAATCATGATGCAGACCGTATAATACAATAACAACACATACATATGACAATATATTAACGACCCAGTTTGAAAATCCATCACTATATGCACCGAGTGTGTCACCCTAACAGCATAATTTCACGCTGAATTATTCAACAAGCCTTCTCTTGCCCGTTGCTACGTTTCCATCTACAGACTATACAATATTTTGTGATACGGTTTAAGTACGTAAACGATGATCAAATTCTCACGTGCGGAAAGAAATTCGCGAGATTTTTCTACGCAATGCTTTATTTGGAAGTCGAGGCATGAACCTTATTTCAACACAATCTCTCTAAATTTTATAATTTTATATTCAGCCAGAAAGCAGCTTGCTTTGTATGAAGTTTCCGTTGAAGGGTGGGATAAACCAATAAAAAAATTACAGGGTACAGGGACATGATATCTTAGTCCTATGGAATGGCAAGGAATGAGTTGTACCACTGGCGTTATATGATAAGTATGATAAGTGAAGCCTATGTTCTGTACAAAATAATTTATACAATACAAATTTGCTGCTAATCACACATAATGATACAAACTTGTTAATATTATGTCGAACAATATAATGTCTACATTTATATGTTTAATTTTGTATGATTTGTAATAATCAAATAAACTATTTATCTATCTAATAAAATATATTCACACTATGTAAACACTTGTATAAATGTGCAATCAGTAAATGCAATGACAGATGCATATCCCCGGAAGAAGATACAATATTGAGTGCGCGTAAATCTGATCTTATTTCCCTAAGTGAACAACTATTGTTCCCAATCTGACACGCTGTCAACTCTCATAGATTCAGAAATAAGCATTGGCAATAAACTGCGGAAATCATAAGCCATTCAGTTCAGAGATTGCGTAACGCGATATAATAGCGGTGGAAATTCGACAAAATTTAAGTCGGTGGAGCATTAAAGGGGACTGTCGACGGCGTAGACGGTTAATTCACCCCCATAAGGGTCGCAGTGGCGCCGAAGATCCTGCCGTAGACAAAATTCTAAGTACGACGTCTTGCCGCCCCGGTTTTACGCGGCACCCGTTCCCGCCCGATGCGTGCAACTTCTATATAATATTTCTGGAAGGGTCTTAGAATTTTGGAGCGTTATTATCAATTATTTTCATTTTATATATAATCTATTAGTGGTGAACAGAGTAACAAACGTAAATAAATAATTCTCATCACATTTTTAAGAATCATCATAAATATAATAAATAATTCAATGTTACAGATAATATTTGTTTATTGCGTTATAGAAAAATTCTACGGTCTAACCCAACGTCCAGGTCACGTACCAATGTATGGGTCCGACAGATTGGCACGACCGGTCGGGTGCTAATCGGGTCGTACTTAGTTCGTTTTACAGTAGTTTGTACAAAGAAAAAAGAACATCCAAACTACTGCGCTGTATATATGTTTTTGAGTATTAATAAATAATTCTGGATTAGGGCTATAATTCAAAACTAAGTTGAATATGTATGGACTAATATTATCGATACCTATGTAACATGTGATAAACATACTTGAATATATATTTTTTTCTAAATATAGATTTACTGATATCAATATCAAAGAGACATACTCATGAACACAAATAGATTTAGATAAAAAAGGCAAATATTGTGCAGAGATTGAATCCTACACCATCGGAAAGTAAGACAGTTGGTTAAACGGTAATTCAAGTACAGTACCACATTATCGTTAAAGTAATACAGATAATTTTAAATAAAATCTTGTTAACACAAGAAATGTGATTCTAGATTCTATTTTATATCTTTCTATCTTTTTACAAAGCACCGCATTCAGTACCCGTTCAATCTTCACTGGAGCGTAGAGAAATACGACCGTATGAACCATAATATATACGCCCCCGAAAAAAAAACAGGTAAATTACGAAATGCGTAACACACGTACGTGATGCCACAGAGGCAAAAGATTCGATTAACTTTAGCCGATGAGCAAACTATTCTCTCATACCTATTCGCAAAGCCATAAAATACACTCCTGAAATTATATAATATAAATGTCTCATCGTCTGATTTTCAGGCCTAAACATTTATGTAGGCATATAAATACGAAGTCTAGACATAGTTTTACGATATGAAGTCGAGGTCTATGGGAAAGTCCAATTACTTTGCATAATAAAAGTGATGGAGTCCTGTCATGGTGTCTATTGTCACAATTTACCTCGAACGTTACCAAGGATTTTCGTACTTGCGTCATTCATACGATAGTGGAATCGATTCCGGTGTGGTCTCATGTGTTTTGATACTTTCCTAGATTTGGACTTTTTGTATGTTATATAAATTATATGCCCAACTTATATACACGATGCATTTATATTATTTAAAAGCTCCCGATAAGTTAAAAATCCTATTAGTTACGTGTTTAATTGTTTATAATAGTGAAAAAAAGTATAAAATTGTGTTTATAAATCATATACTACGTATACATTCCATATATACACTATTTACCTACGCATATACTTGGATCTATTAAATACAATTATTATAAACAATTCAAAGACTATGTCATTTATATATTTATCACAAACATCACCAAAGATTGGAAATTCCTACAATAATAAACTGTATTTTTTTTTTGTGGATCTACTGTAAATTTTTAGTTATTTTTCATTTTCTTTATAATATTACGTAGTAGATAAAAGATGATGCTGATGATCTTTTGGTATTCAGAGATATGAACGTTTCGCGCTTCATGCTATTTTGAGACTCGTGTGTTCGTAGTCGACTTTGATATTGTTGCTTTATAATACATTCTGTACATGTATAATTACATACATGATTATAATTTATGCATTCTATTTTGCATTTCTCTATAATACTCCTCAGAATATTATACGCGAAAGGATATATTATAAATTATTTGTCACGCTCTCAGACATAATTCATGGTAAGGGCTGCTGGCGACGAATCCATCAAAGTGTCGACAGGCCATTTGTTGCGTGTGTTTTCACGCTTGATAAATCGCGAAACTTGTCCACATTTACTGGATTTATGTACGTGTCCAATTGTTGGACATTACATAAACTTAATTGGAAGCAGTTAATACACGCTGATATTACAGGCTAATTGTTCTGCGCATAAACCTTATATAACAATAAGTCATTATTTGTTATTAATATTACAGAGATGACTTAGGTATCTCGTGTACATCCACATACATTATAATGTCATTGACGTTTTTTAAAATTCGTGAAGAAGGCATTGAGAACACCATGAATTTTATATGTCTTAGTTTGAAAGTCGGATTGACCGATAGAATTGAAATTTTCCATCGAAAAAGGGGACATCGTATAATCCGACGGACCTGAGTCGATCTGTGTTCTAAACGTACACAAATCATACCGCCGTTATATGAATATATAAGAACAAATGACACGTGTCGTTTGCTGCAGACGAACATAAAATTTAAGTGATTTACATAAACTGCGCGGGAAATTTATGCATCCCACTCAAGAGTATAGATAACATTGGTGTTAAATTGTGTGTGAGAATTACGTAGAAATATTCGACATTGAATTTTTTGAAGCATTCCTTACCATAAAGTATAACTGCCACATATTTACATGGAGAGAAGGATATCCACCTTAAGTGGCAAATCTCTGAGGGCACGCAGAAATTATTTATGGACTCTTTTATTGCTAAACTTCATTCGTTGCTGTGGTCGCTTTTATTCCTTCGACGGAAAAAGTTGTGAGATTTTATTGCCGGTGTGAGATAGTATGGTAGGACACGTTATTGCACTAACTTTTAACGGTAGATGAAATTAAAATAGACCTTTTTTTGCGGCCACAAACGTCTGGGCTCTTGTGGTTTCTCTTTATGGTACTATTTTTAGCAGCATTAACTCAGTCATAAGGTATTTGCCATAATTACTTGACAAGTAATTATTTGTGGTAACGTTATATATTTTTACGATTATCTTCTAAATAGTTTTTTTAAATTATTTAGGCTATAAGTTTTCTATTATTCATATATAAAGTTAACAAGAAAAGTTATATATTTAAGGATATAATACATATGTATCTATCTAATAAATTAAATTATGTACAACATTACAAGATTATGGCACCTATGTGATGAGTTTTTGTTAGTGAGTTTTAATGATACAGTTTAGGACATACATTTTTAAGCAACTTAATCTCGTCGTTATGTTAAATCTATAAATTTTAAATTCTACTAAAAATATAATAATTTTAATCCGTCCATTCCGTGAATATTTTCTATTTTAAGTATACATTATGAAAATTAAAACGTCTTCTCATTATCTTATTTAATTTATAGCTACATCACTAACTAATAATTGTCTGTTACAGAACTCGATCCGGCATAACCTGTCATTACATAACCGGTTCATGCGGGTTCAGAACGAAGGCACTGGAAAATCTTCTTGGTGGATGATCAACCCGGATGCGAAACCAGGAAAATCCGTTCGAAGACGCGCAGCCTCGATGGAGACATCCAAATTCGAAAAACGAAGAGGCAGGGTTAAGAAGAAGGTTAGAATAGTTACTATAATACATATATGTACAATATAACTGCCACTAAATTGCCAATCTCATAGTTTTTTTACACTTACTGTAAAAAAACTATGTAAAAAGTTAGACAATTATAGTGGATTACTGGATATAAATTGTTTCATCAAATCTATCTAATATATCTTTGTATTTAATTTTTAATAAAATCGTAATATAAGACAGAACACAAATTAATGTAGAATTGTGACTTAAACTTTAATTTACATTACTGCATAAAATCTTAGTAAATGACCAAAGCAAAATGATAAATGACAGTGATAAACATCAGTATAACCCTCATGTTACTGAATATTTAAAATTATCTCTTGTTATTATTGCACTTTTCTAAACTTAAATTAAAATGCATATTTAACAAACGAATATTAATGAGATGACCGCCTTCACAGGCTGAAGCTTTAAGAAATGGCGTGACAGCTGACGCCACACCAAGTCCCAGTAGTTCAGTTTCCGAAAGTCTTGACATGTTCCCAGATTCACCACTGCACAGGTAAGAATCCCAAAAATATTTTTTCTGTAAGCAAAGTATTGTTACAAAGCTTAAAATAGAAGTTAGCAAGTATAGATAATTTTTAGAATCGTTTAGATCATTTTCTCGTTAAGATGGTATCTACAGATGCGAGTGGACTTAAAGGAACGTGGCATATCGCCAATAATGTCGACAGAACGGATGCAGTGGATAGCGATACTAATTTGACTTTAAACGCAGAATAACTTACCCATACGAATAATGTAATGGCGAGATCTGCCAAAACCACGAGCATGTTCTCGACGAATTCCTAAATAGCGTCAGTTTGTGAGATATTGAAATTTTATGACCACTAGAAACAAAGTGAGATCCGAATTGTACAAACGGTATATCCATCCATTCATTCAATATAATAAAACTATCGGACATAAACTGCGTTGACCAGACTAATAAAATTGAGTTATTGCAACTCTGCTACTTTATGATAAAAGGTTTTAAATCATTCACAACCATTAGATGATGAGTTATATGGATGCTGAATCTCGACATTTCACCAATATTTAACATTTTTATTGCCGAATATCTGTAGGGATTACAGGCATAACTTCTATTTCGGACAGTTACACTCGAATGGTCAAAGAACAAGCCCATAGCACATTTCTTACGACAATGTTTTGTCATTGTTTGCAGTAATAAAAATATTTCTGCGCTGACCACTGAACCCTTTATGGTGATCGCTTCATGTAGCCTACAAATTTATATGTTAGCAGCCCTCTATATAGACATTACATTTGCATGCTTCCCATTACATTCAATGTTTGGGACTGTTATAGACATCTTACTAGATAAACTAGCTTTAAGTTTCTTATTTGCCGAGAATTTTCATTATTTGCGTATTGAGCAATTATCTGAATCATGTTATCGTTTCTAATTTGATGAACAGTTTTGATGGCCTTCAAAATTAACGATTACGTGATTCTTATTATGTTTGAGATTGTTTCGTTGACGCTTGTTCGCTTCTGCGTAGCAGCAGTTTTCAGTTGTCGCCGGACTTCCGTCAGAGGGCGTCATCCAATGCGTCGTCATGTGGCCGACTATCCCCAATTCCATCCATGATCACATCGGAGCCAGACTGGGATTACAACCCCGCTGGGGATTATGCGTCAAATAGCGATTTCTCACAAGCAGACTACGCGCAAGAGGACGCGCAGTTGGCCGGACTCGCGGACTCGATGAAGTTGCAAGGAGCTGATCCATTCCTTAACACGTAAGGATTAAGATTAGTATGCTTAAGCGCTAAGAGTACACTTTGGATTGTATTTCAATAAAGTGTAGTCTTAGCATATTATTTTATGAGCCTTTAGAGGTTTTAAGCTTGATTTCTATTTCGTTTCTACAGTAAATATAGCATCATCCTAATTACCTTGTCTTAGACAATATGCTTTGCTTTGTATAGAATTACGTATACTTAAGCTAAGAATAGAAACTACTTTAATTAAGATTAAGATCTCTAAATTGTATAATAAATAATATATATATATACTGGGCTTTATATAGTCGTCTACGTGGGTACCTCTGTGTCATTTTTCGATTGGATTGATCATGTGTTTCGATTGTATTGAATAGTCCGTGATACATGAAAAATGTATATAAGCGACAGTCAACACTTTCCATCAGGCGGGCACGGACAGCGTCAGCTTGTTTCCCATTCCAAATACATAAAAAATCAAAATGAATTCAATAAATTACTTTTCAATTGCGTATTGTTAAAATAATATTTTTCCCTCTTTTATTTCCTGAACAATCTACAGAGGCTCCATCTATTCCCAAGCTGAGCAACTGAAATAAATACTTAAATGCATTTTTTTTTGTAATTACATACATAATATACACAGATAACACCCAGACCAATACAAACAGTTATACATGAATACAAATCTTTACACCGTGCGAGGAATCGAATCCGCGACCATCGGAAAGTACGCCGTTGTGCTAATCCACTAGACCATCGAGACCATCAAATATAGACCTATATAAAAGTTTATATTCCAGGTATGTTCCAACTACATCCTCGTCGTCATCCGGGAGTAATTATCGTTACCCCTCATATGGGACAACGTGTCCACGGCATCTTCATGGTGGGTGCGCCTGCGCATCCCTGTACTCTCATCCAGCGCATCCTGCGCACCCAACACATCCGCATCAGCATGCGATGGATCCCTTCGTGAGACCACCGCCACCGGCTGATCCTGCCGATATTATGCAAACAGGTATTAATTGTTTGTTTTGTGTACGGAATTTTAATTTATTGAAAATAGTGTAGCTCAGCCACTATTAATCTATATATAGGAAACAAATGTTTTATTCTCCTTATAATATTAATTAAAATAATACTGAAATAAATAATTGATTAATTAATTACTATAATAATCCAAGATAATTCACACACCACTAGCCTCAAACTAAGCAGAAATTGTACTAGACTGATATACTTGTATACTAGACAGATAGATAGACATAGACATAAATACATTTTATATAAATACATGGAAAATACCCCAGACTAATAGACTAATACAAAATAGTCATAGTCATGAGTAGGTATAATGTTTATATCGTACGAGGAATTGTAACTGCGACTATAGATAGTAAGGTAGTGTTTTAAACCAGCTACAAAATACTACTTAATAAAAAGAAATATATAAAGTATTCTATCGTCAACTAAATTGGATCACCCTCATATCTCAAAAAGTAGTTATTCAATTTTAATATTATTGATGATTTAGATCTATTAATGATTTTGTGACTTAATAAATGCAAAGCCTGCCGTCCATTGCTGGGACTCATGCCTCTTTCATAATTTTTCACCTTTGGTCTAAATACCAAGCCTAATATTTATTAAATCATTCGAAATTTGTATTAATCTTAAAAATATGTATATTAATTGCATTTAAAAGAAAATGGTCGAAATTGTTTGTTACTACCTTGTATATTATTTCGAAAATACAAGTTGTATTTTATTCACAGAAAATGTACCGGCCCAAATGGTGACGACATCGGATCCAGCCCTCATGAATGGTGGTATGATGGTGCAGGCTGGCACGATGGGACCTACCACAGTTATGGGGCAAATCATGGGGGCTCTGCACGCTGGCTTGGCGGAGGACATCAACATCGAAACATTGGAACATGGCTTTGAATGCAATGTCGATGAGGTAATCTTTACAAATTTTTACTTTATTATTAAATAGTTTACAGGGGGGAGCGGGATTTTTGGAATGGGAACTAATGGCCCCATTACTAGTAATGTACTAATAAAAACCTTTGGAACAATTGCCACAGTGTTTATTTTATTTCATAATAGTTTTATTTGAGATTATTCCTAATCTATACTGAAACTAACGCGAGGTAGGAGGCGACATACTGAGGACTAAAGTATGCGGTCTACTATCGGTCCTGATTAATTTCAAATGAATTGGTGTCGATAGTGAAACTGATTTGACTTCAGGCTTCGTTTTTCATTGCTGTCCCGCTCCTATTGGTTATGGCCTATATTTCATAATAAATAGGCTATCATGGCAATGGCATTTTCCAATTCAAATTACTAGATCAAACAAACTTTCAGCCTTATAATGCAGTTAGTATAGTTGGATATGAAAGTACTTTCTTTGTTATCACCGAATTACTTATAATTATGAAATACGGCTTACGCGTGTAGTTTAGAACGGAATACGATTAAGCTAGTAAGAAATTAATAACACAGAGCCTTGACTGACACTTCTTTGAAAATGTACAAAATATGTATAAGTATATATAAGTTTTTATAAAATTTATAATAGTATTGAAAATTAACGTAGACTTACTATATACATAATCAGCATTAGCTACAAAAATAATCAGCTATTATATAATAGCTTAGCGACTTGCCTTGATTTTAATTTAAAGATATGCCTTCAGGAAAAGGGAGAGTATAATTTGCGTAAATTATTTGTGATATTTTCGAAAATTTCCAGCCAATATACCTGTTTATTTTTCAACTGAATTCATAGAAAGGAAAGATTCTCACTTGTATTCAAATTATTTACCAGTTTTTTTTAGTATTAACTGAGTACTATTTTCTACGTGAGTCAATTTTGGTTATTTTTTTTTATTTAACACCTGATTCTTCTTAGGCGGTGGTACCATATAAATTTGATTAAGATCTGACCAGTAGGTTTATGTTATCATATTGACATGTTTTTTTTTCTGAACACACAGACACACTTATTTTCAATAATAATATGGTTATTATTTTCGTTTCAGTGTGTACACCTATTTTTAGAACAGTATTAGTGTGGAGTATTGAATTCAAATCAAATCAAAAATCATATATAATCACGTATAATTTTTTGTATTAATATCTTTTATCTACCGACCTGTTCAGTATACAATATTAATAATGGAACTTCACTAACAGGTCATAAAACACGAGCTGAGCATGGACGGATCGTTGGACTTCAATTTCACCCAGCAGCAGACCTCGATGGCTGCCGAAGCGGAGAGCCAGTTCGTGGCGCCCGCGCCGCCCGTGCCCACCACGCTGTCTGGTGGCGGCGCACCCCGCACCCCGTACTCCGTCGCCCCCTCCTGGGTTCATTAAACGCATTCTGCTACAATTCGGACTAAGTTACCTACTTATCAGGGACTTAAAATGGACTTTACACCAATTATAATACGAATTATTTTCTATACTCCGCTGAGGTTTCATATCTCAGTTAATACAGTTTTAATTACTAATATTAGAAATTATTTGTATTATAATTCGTGCTAAGATGCTATTTTAGACCTCCAGGTTGTCCACAAACTACCACGTCCTATGTACATACAGCGAAAAATTTGTTTTTTTTTATAATTTGTTACTTTGGTACCTAGTATTGTAGTCGAGATTTCTGTTCATTTTATCATGTTAACTAATATTAGAGTTTTATTTAGTGTTAAAGTTAAGTGGACGGTTACCGATCGTTGTTGAAGTGTCAATTGTGTTAGTATAGGGTTTAGTGCTAAGCTAGGTGGAAGCTTGTGATATAGATAGGATATTGTAATCCGAATAGTTGCTTGGACCTGGAGGGGGCAGGACCTAGGTTTGAGCCAGTGCGACGATGATCAGCATAACAAAAGAGGTAGAGTATACAACTTTACATTACATATTAACATTACTCATAAATTATTATTATTAACTATACTACCTTTAGAATCAGAAATCAACACAGAGGTTTCTATGTTTCATGACTATTTACAAGTCCACTTACATACTATATTACTCCAATTTCTCCATACTCAGTCGCAGTATGGAGAACTTTGAATCATATTTTGAGACAAGATTTAAATGTTTCCATTCCTACATAATAGTGTAAAGTATGTAAATGTGTTCATGATTTAATTCGTGAGGAGTACATTATAGTTATACTTATTATTATTACTCTGTTCTTATATCATATATTTATTATAGTTGCCTAATACTCTAAGTATTAAAAGAAAGTCTTATATAAATGCGTAACACATTCCGTCACTAAAATATCAAATAGAGAAAACAAGTTCAAAAACAAGAATGAAACCATTTCTGAAGAAACTCGAATCAACTGGAAAGTACGAACAAAGAGTTCTTTGCGATATATTAGCGAGCGTTTAACAATACAGCGCCATAAATCTAGTGGAATATCAGCGATTATCTCCAGAACTTTCTGGTGTGTCCAATAACTTGTTGGTTCCGTATCTGACAAAACTATAAGTCTATTGTTTCGCGGAAATGCAGCAATGGCTATCCGGACCCGTTTAGTAGGGTCGCCATTTTTAAGTAAGCTAAACACACATAAATGGTTTTATAAAGAAATAAATCTTATAGTCGTATGTCTCACAGCACCATCTAGTCTTTGGCTATGTAGAACTTGTATATGTATGTATATATTGATAGAATTTTTTGAATACTTTTCTTTTTGTATGTCTGTGTATAATCTCCAATCATGATCACACACAGGAATATAAATGTTTCCATATTAAAAAGTAATTATATTTTTTTATAAAAGAAATAATTGCATTTTGGTTCGAAGTAATTATTCTATTTCAAATTTATACCAAGGTTTTCGTTTTTCTACCGACTGTCAGTAAGAAATGGCTCTCATTTCTATGTAATTGTTTATTACGCATTATTTTCCCCAAAACAAGAGATTTTGATAATGATCTACTTCAATATTATTCTAATAAAAGTTCTACCAATGATTGTCGAGTTGTTCTTATGTGGAACAAAATTAATAAAATATACAAATGGTATTCCTTCAAGTTGCATACAATAGTTAGCCTTCTTACTTATTTGTTTAAGATATAAATTTTAAGTTATTCGTTCCATTAAAGTCATTTAACTTCGAAAGTAAGGTAACCCTATTCTTTTCATATACGTACACGAAAAGAACTTTCGAAGATTAAAATTCGAAATATCTAGTTTTGAAGTTTTAAGTCGATAAAGCGTTGTAAATTTTAACGTTTATTTTTATGTGTAGATATTGGTTACGTTGTTACGGGTTGCAAATACTATAAGCATAGCGTTTACATTATTTTACCATTCTATGTTATTGTAATGGTAAAACTTTGATTGTATTGAAATCCCACAGATCCTGACATAACTGATGAAAGTATCACATTGCATTTTCTTTTTAACCGACTATCAAAATGAGCAGGTTATTTTGATTCGCGAAAATAAAACCGTTTACATTCATTCGTTCATTCATCGTTTAATTACATTGTATTCATATTGAAGTCTATTAATTCATAATAAATCATATTAATCAATCAATCGATGAGGTAGAATTTGTACTAACTCGTCTGCGTGATACATCTATTACAACCATTTTAGTCAGCCGCATTTCGGTTTCAGGTTAAGATATAGCAGTAAAATTACTTGGTACAGAGGCATGTCTCCTTAGTCGTCCGGAATGGCAACGCGTAATAGGTCCTACGGGTGTCACATGATAATGTGGTGCCCGACGGTTTCCATGTACTTATATAAAGGTGACAGTTGCCACTTACCACCAGAATCAACAGTTTGTTAGACATTCCAACTATATGAAATTTAAAACAACAAAATTATATTTGATGAAGTTTAACTGCTAGGTAATATTTAAGATGGAAAATAATCTACATTACATTTGTCCGATTTTATTTGTGATTAATTTTTCCATGCAATCAATATTTCTCGATAACGCGGATGTAGTACCGAGTGAATACTAGTTCTATTCTAATTATTATATAACTATTAATGTATATAATTGCACCCTTCATAAAATATTTCGCAACTTAACAAAGATAAAAAAAACACGATTATTCTGAGGAGTCGAAATATCTACGTCACATTTCATGTTAGCCTGACCCCAAAATCCGAAAGAAAGAATTTCCTCATCCATTCGGCTTTACGACATTAGGTATTACAAAAGATAAGTGCGTCACTCATGTTTATGTTTCTTTGTACGTGGATTATGAGACGTGATGTCTCCTTTATTTATGTAAGAATCTAGCTGGAACGCCTTAGGTGTATGCCCATGGTATTCGCTTGCAAATTATATTATCCCATGAATAATTTCGAGCTCTTTTCTTTACAGACTTTTTCTATGTCACCATTGTAACAAAATATTTAATGAGGAGGTGTAGGAGTCAAAATCGTAAAGTTTTATTGCGTGTCGTCGAAATAGAATATAAATGCGATGCGTTTTATAATTTAATTGAGCATTTTAAAATGTAAAAACGTGTTATTTATACACAGAATAAATTACGCCGACGGTCTAGAAATGTATCTAGATATCATCTAGAAATTATTTGCTATACTTTGGAATCACCCTCCAGCAACGGTTTTTCCGAACCGACGCGATATTGAAGACAATGCAATTCCCCTGGTGTTGCTCACGGGCGGCGGTAATAACTTAATATCAAGTGAGCCGAAAGCTCGTTTGTCCACATATGCACATTTATAAAGAATTCTATAGAAGTACCAACTAACCTGAGGATTTTTTTTCTAATAATCTTAATTTACCTAATTATTTCTTAGTTATTTTATTATAAACATTTGAGTATGAGATAACTTAAGCATGTATTATGGAAATCACTTAGGTGTGTAAGGTTTTTATTAGTATGTATATGCTATATTTTATTGTTGCCCAAAACCGTTATCTACCATTGGAATGTAACATAGGGAAATCCCATTTTAAAGATTCAACTTGCATAATTATTTCCTCTGCAAAATTTCATGCTCAATCAACTCAGTTATCAGTGATTACGGAGATTATTGTTATGTAAATCATTCATTTAAAAAAATAAAAATTAATTTGTGAAAAGCCAGCATTTAGCAGTGCGGTGAGTAAAATAAAATTATAATTAGACTCCGATTGAGCGGTCGTCGAGCGTTCGTGATTCAATTTCACCAATGAATGATCTTATTTGTGCGCTAATGAGGCACCCGGACGGTAATTAATCATATCATTTTAGCGTAAACGGTGCCCGTCGACGACCCGAGCGATCGCTTTCGAATAATAGAACATCTCGAAAAAATCCCCAGAACAACGCTAGATTAAACCCGCCTCGGGTAATGACTTGTTTTTTAGGGTTACTAAAGAATACGTCTTAAGCAGACGGTAGCGGCGACGGGAAATCTTGTTAATTTTTTGTTATAATCCAGCTTAGTTAATGGTGGATAAGAATGGGTAGCGTAGCGTGAAATGTTCATGTAGCGAATGTAATCCTTGCTCAGATTTTAAACTTATAAAACAATTTCATTACAAAAATTTTACATAACTAAATATAAACTAAAATAATAACAATTAATTTTGGTTTCTTCTAAAAACTGGTTTTGTAGTAAATTACTGTACTATACTGCAGTTTCTATTCAGCAGAATACGGCTTTTTTGCGAGAATAGATAATTAATTAATGTAGGACATTATTAAGAAATAAAATAAACTTACATGCAGCATGCAGCATGAGTTTTAAAATGTACTTTGAATTAGTACCTCAAAGTTGAAATGAGAAATCCTTAAAAAAATTGTAAAAAAGTATTATTCAAATTGTAACAATATGAGTTATTAAATGTTATACTCATAAAATACTTATTCTATCATAATTCATAATTAATATGAATGATAAAAAAAGTTTTTGATTCAAGAAAACGTCGTCTGACATTCACATAGCATTTCACCGACCAACAGACATTTTCTGCCCACCCAGTGTACCACCTACTAACAGCTGTACAAATCGAATGAACATTTGTCAATTGGTAAAACTGTTTAGTTTTATTAAGACAAAGAGTCATACTCTTTTAAAAACACACATCGTACGTACATTTTAAAAACAACTCTCCGATAGTCATGTAGTTACTAAGTAAATGGTATTAAGCTTCATTAATTTATTTTCCCAAACGTTGATTTCTCACGTCTAACTCCATCAAATAATAATAATAACCCCTGGATAATTTACACAACGTCGCCTAGTCCCAAGGTAAGCAGAGCTTGTGTTATGGGTACTAGACAATCGATATAAATACTTAGATTTTTAAATACATATTTGTAAATACATACATAATGTACATGGAAAACAGACCAGACCGATACAAACAATCATACTCATGAATACAAATGTCATCCCGTGCGAGGAATCATACCCGCGACCATCGGAAGTAAAGCTGTGTGCGAAACCGCTATACCACCGAGGCCGTCAATCATCGGTCACAAGTCAACACTCAAAAGATTTTATTAACAAGCTGATTTTCATAAGGTCTCTCGGTTCGCGGGCGGGGGTCGTTTAAATTTCCGAACTCATCCTGTATTCGGCACGGCTACGAACGTAATTAGGTAGGGCCCACCTTTACACACGATTTCTCGGCACTTGTTAAAAGTTTTCAATTGCGTTACGAGGGCCCTTACGCGGAATTTATTCATTATATTCGGCCCACTCCCCCTACTTAATAAAAGCTCCTTTGCTCGTTTTTTACACCCTCTTTCAATGTTACTTATAGGTAAGTACTTTAAATATTTGCCGCATGGCCTCACTGATGAGTAATGAATTATACATAGATATTTGAATTTTTATTACCGTATTAAGAATCACTGAGAAACTTGAGAGATACGTTTGGTTTGCTCCATACTT